ATGGCAAAACCATTGTTGCATCTCCTGATGGAAGCACTCTCCTCTTGGAGGCTGAGGTCACTAAACCAGCAGAAGACAGAGTTTCCAGGTAAGGAAGGAAAAATTCTGAGAGTAGGTGGTAATATAAAAAGAGCTACTCTTACTGCCATAACTAGATTCAAATTATCTCGGCTATGAGAAAGACAGCAACATATAATGGTCTCTGACTCAAAACATATCATTTAAGACAGAATCTCATTTTTCAGGGTATTGTCTTCCAGCTAAGATCATAATTGAGTCTTCAGTAAGCCATTTCACCATTCAGTTATGCCAGCTGCTTCCAGGTGATGGTATATGTGGTAAGCCTTGTTAATTCTATTGGCATGGTCCATTGCTGCACTTCCTTTGCTGTGAAATGAGTTCCCTAATCAAACACAATGCTGAGTAGAACGCACTGATGGGAGATAGGGCATTTTGTGAGTTCACAGATAGTAGTTTTGGCAGAAGCATTATAAGCAGTAAAGGCAAATTCATTTCCAAAATATGTGATTATTCCAATTAAGATGAATCTTTGCTCCCTCTACGATGGAAGAAGTCCAATGTAATCAACCTGCCACCAGATGGCTGATTCATTACCCCTGGGAAGGGTGCCATATCAGGTACTCAGTGTTGTTCTCCGCTCTTGAAAGATTAACCAGTTGGCAGTGGTGCTGGCAAGGTAAACTTTGGATAGGGGAATTCCAAGTTGTTGAGCACATGCATAGTCTCCATCCCTACCACTATGGCCACTTTGTGCATAAGCCCACTGAGCAAGCACCTGCTGGCTGGGCAAATAGATGCTGACTGATATCCACAGAGTGTGCCATTTTGTCCACCTGATTATTAGGAGTCTCCTCAGCAACGGATACATTTAATGTAGCAGATACACTTCATAGTTTGTATACATTCAGTTAAGTCCTTGCAGATATCTGTTTCCCACACTTCCTCGTTGCCTATTTTTCAATGTCATTCTTTCCAAGTCACAGACTATCTATACAAATCATTAGCCAGGCCCATTCTGGTCATCTCTTGCTCCAGACATGCTGGGTAACAAATGTATTGTTTGAATTATGCCCACCTGGAGGAGTTTCCTTCACCACTGCCTTTCCGGGTGCCTAAGTAGGGCTGGGATAGCAACCTGTGCTGCAGAAGATGGATTCTAGAGAGGCCTTCCACGCTGCAGGAGCCTGTCAGGGAAGCATGCTGGAACCAGAAAGTAAACCCTTTCCTATTTCAATGCCTCTCTAGCATTCTCTGTGGACAGAACTTACCATTGTGGTAGGTAGACCTACCTACCACATACAGAATGCTGAGAGAAGTAGTAGAAGACTATTTTAAGGGGTCAGATCCATCTATACAGAACAAGAATGAAAAGTGAATTTGGAACGGAGAGGCGATTAATAAATTACAGCACAGGTACTATAGAGCTGGCTAGCTTAGGTCAAAAAACTACTCTGTCAATCACCGTGGCTATTGCAGCTCCCATTGGGTCTCTCATTAGACTGGGGATAGGCAGAGAAGAAAAGTAGTTCTCCCAAAATAAGAGGGAGAAGCACTTTCCCCAAAAGAAGAGAGGAGTTCTGGGCTAACAAAACAAAAATATTCCCTACACTTCACCCTTTGACTGCTCAGTGCATGCATGAACACACGCGCGCGCGCACACACACACACACACACACACACCCTGGTTTCTCCATATCCAGTCCCTCCCTAGTGAGAGGAGAAAACTCAGTCACATCCCGATATTGAATACAGCCTCAAATTCAGGATCTTTAAGTACTGTCAATCTTGATGAGGTCCAGATGTGGCTAAATAACGAATAATGAATTTTTCCCCAGAGCACAAATGTATGTTAAAGGTGTGGGGGGTGGGGGGCACTAGATAACAAAAACTAATGAGAAAACAAATAGGAAAAGCAACATACAATGGTTGTGAGCATATACCATATCCTGCTGGACAAAAGTAAGAAGAGTAAGAAGGACTTCACTTCTACAGCAAAGAATCAAGATCTCTGTCAGCCAAGCAAAGTGTCAAGATTTTCCTTGTCTCAAAGATCCTGCCTTAGAGGTGTAGTGAAAGGAATCCTGGCGGCCATTAGGTAGCCATCTTTCTACAAGGAATGGAGACTGGGACATTGCCTTTAAGACAGCACAACAGTAGGTACCTTTTGCCAGGCTGAGGAGGAATTTCTGGCAATACCTTAGAACTTCACTTGGCTGTCAGTCAGTACCATTTGGGGAAATCCATTAGCTTGTTATCAGAAATCTCACTAAGACTTGAAGTTCAAATATAGACCCTGCCCTTCCTGTTTTAATCTCTTGAAAACTAGCCTGGCAGATCCATGAAATCTCCCTGGATAATGGCTTTTGTCATAGGCTCTCCAAGGGTGAGGAAGAGAACAGGCTGGGATTATGAAGCTAGGTTATCGTATTGGATGCCAGCCCTTAAGTTGTATACCACTCAACTGGTATAATGGGAGGAATTACCTTTTTTCTATTGATAAGGAAGCATAGCAGTAGATATTTGGGAAGAATTCTGAGGAATGAAGCATCCATGAATCCATTGCTAATTCCTACTTAGTGTATTAACTTATGGACGGCAGAAAATTTCGTTATTTCACTTGGCAGAGTAGATATTAAACCTCTAGGGAAAGAGCTCCTCAACAATGCTTTGTAAATTACATCTCACTATTGATGGTTTCTTTCAGAAAGGCCATGCTGAGTGAGTTTATCTCACAGCACTGAAGCAAAAAGTAGCCAATATATTTCAAGAGCCTGTTTGTTTGTTTTGTTTTGTTTTTGCCAATTTCCCTAAAGTTAGAGCCTTACTGGGCATAACAAATAATCCACCAGTGTCTTTCAAAGTGTCTAGGGTGAAGAATCAATTTTTAGATGATTTTTAATTATCAACCCATTGCAGACAAATATTTTCATAAATACAAAACTGCATGCTTAGATAGCCCTGTGATGTCAAATTATTAAAAGTTTCCAAATCCTCCTCTCAATTTCTATATCTATTTCATTATTGACTAGTAGAGCTTGCAGACTGGCTTTGGTCTGTACATCACATTTTTAGTAGCACCGATAAAACCAATAAAACTTGCTACTTTCCAAGCCTGGGATGGATGACTCCTCACTGTCCCCACCTCCTTTACTAAGACAATTCTACATTTTAGGGTTGTGATGGTTAATAGTGAGTGTCAACTCGATTAGATTGAAGGATACAAAGTATTGATCCTGGGTATGTCTGTGAGGGTGTTGCCAAAGGAGATTAACATTTGAGTCAGTGGGATGGGAAAGGTAGACTCACCTTTAATTTGAGTGGGCACCATCTAATCAGCTGCCAGTATGGCCAGGATATAAAAAGCAGGCAGAAAAACCTGAAAAGGCTAGACTGTCTTATAGACTGCATCTCCCAGCCTACATCTTTCTCCCATGCTGGATGCTTCCTTGAATATCGAACTCCAGGTTCTTCAGCTTTGGAACTCAGACTGGCTTCCTTGCTCCTCAGCCTGCAGACAGCCTATTGTGGGACCTTGTGATCATGTGAGTTAACTACTACTTAATAAACTCCCATATATATATTTTATTAAGTAGTAGATATATACATATATAACAGGATATATCTATCTATCCTATTAGGATATCTTATATGTATCTATCCTAATAGGATAGATAGATATATCCTATTACTTCTGTCCCTCTAGAAAACCTTAATACAAGGGTCAGCAATCACAATTCCCTATTTCTAGGTAATCAATTTCTGTACTGATCAATAGTTTTGGATAAGAACATATACTGCATAGTCTAACTTTACAATGCATTGTCTCCTAGCTGGCACAGGAATAATGGGTCACATTATAAGAGTGGTGAAGCCGATGGCCTTTGGTTAGAAGAATGGTGTATGGGATAATGTGATAGGTCAATTATTATTATTTTGTATAAATTTAGAAGTACAAGTGCAGTTTTGATGCATGGATACATTGCGTAGTGGTTGAAATCTGGGCTTTTAGTGTTAACCATCACCCGAATAGTATAATAGGTCTATAATTAATAGGGAATAGTGCTTGCAGCAAAACCAAACCCAATTCCGCAATGAGGAACTAGTGTAGGGAAGCAAACTATTGGCTGATCCATGACAAAAGGGACTCTAAAGTAATTGATATTCCTGCTTCTAGGTATTTGGCTGGTCCCCTTGAAAGAGAATGCCTCCTAACGACCTTAGAACTGGTCGCCATTGCTGTAACGTTGACTTTTCAGCAGTGGCAGTAGCCGCTGGAATACACTGTTTCCCCTGCCGTTTCCTTGGTAAATCATGTTACTTTCCAGCCTAAAACCCCACTTTCCCTAGCACTTGGAAGAAAGTCCAAACTCCTTCCACGGTCTACAAGGCACTGAAAGTTCAAGACCTTGATTTCCCTCCAATTTCAATGGCTGTCATTCTTCCGTTGCTCTGTTTCCTGATGCCCTAGCCACACTAATACCCCAGCACAGCAAGTACTCAGCATATCTTGTTCCCTCTGCCTGGAACACTTTATATACATCCTTCCCACTCCCATCCCTTTTAGAAATTGGCTGAGACGTTACCTCCTAAAAGTCCTCTCCCCACCACCACAAAGCCATTACTTTCTAACCCAGCCTCTTGTTCACTTTTTTCATTAAACCTGACCCAACTATAATTACTATACCTTGAAAAATAAAGTAGTACAGAAATGAAAACAAACTCCATCATCTACAGAGCTTTCAAATGCTCAGATACGTTTCTGAACACTCAGACGGGAAAGCAAAAAATCAAGAGGCATCCTTGGAGATCTTGTAAATAACAAAATACCCACATGGTTGCCTACTGCCAAAACCCCAAGAATTCAGCCCACGTCTTCTCTTTTAAAAAGGCAGTGGCATTTTCATTTTTTCATCTGATTCCCACCAATCAGGCCAGGTACCCATGAACTCCGCTCGGCGTGGTCTTTTAATAATTAAATCAGGGCTGCCATTGACCTCAACTAACGCCAGAGGCTTCTGACTGCAGCCGAGCTCTGGTGGAGAGGCCGATGCCGGCCTGAGAGTGGGAAGCGTGGGGCTGGGAGCCAGGGGCTTCCGCGCGGCGTGGCGTGGCCCTCTCAGGGCCGTTACGCGATTTTCGCTCCCGCGGACAGCGCCTCTCAGACCACCCCCGAGGGACCCCGAGGACGCACTCGGGCCCCAGCGCGACGGTTCAAACGGGCCCGTGTGCGCCCCCGGGGTCCGACGGCCCCTGCAGCGCTACCTGGGCGCAGAGCCGCGGAGGGTCTCCGTTCCTAGACGTCCTCCTACCCCGGGCGGCCTGAGTCCTCGCCAGCATCCGCCCTCTCCCACCTCCCATCCTTCCTGGAGCCGCCTCTCGGTTCCCGAGGGACAGTCCCGACCGCAAACCCACGTAGAGTAAGGAATGTGGAAGGAACAGGCAACAGAAGTGGCATACGCTCCTGCGTTATCCCTCCGTCTCGCCACACCTTGTGCCTCCATCTCTCCCCGTTTCCTTCCCTCTGTCTGTCATCTGTCATCCCCTGTCGCTCTAAGACCAGGATTCCAGTTCGCCTAGTGAGGAATCTCACTAGGGGAATTTATCGCAGCATCATAAATTAACGGGTTCATTTTGACTGAAAAAGCGAAGGAGTTTTTTCAGGCAGAAGACAAGTCTCGTCTGGTCGGTAAGGACTAGCTTTACCAATTATATAATGGGGGGTGGGGAGAACCTTTTGTATAAATTTAATGAGCTAATGAGAAAGTTCTACGGTTTTGACAAAAAAGTCCACCTAAATATTCGGTTGTATGCCAGAAATTACTACACATGTTTAGATATCAACTAAAAATATACAAGGGATTCATGGTGTTTTCAGAACCCTTTCAAGCCGTTCTTAAACAAAAAAGTCTAGTCCGATGCCCATTAGCACCGCCCCCATCCCACCTCTCACCCCACGCCGCGCCCAGCGGGGTGGGCAGGAGCTGCCTGATTTGGGGACCAGGAAGGAGGAAGGAAGAGTCGGGGCGGGGGACGGGGAAAGTGACGGGAGCAGTGAGAGCCGGAAATGAGTGGCTAGCAAGGCACCCAGGAGCGCCCTGTCCGGCGGCGCTCTAGCCCACGCGCGCTGTCTCTATGCTACCCAGCGTCTCGTCTATTTATTGTCGCGGGGAAGCGGCGGCCGCCTCGCACCCGGAACAACAAAGCAAGGAAGACGGAGTCCGAGCCTCGGGGGCTCCTAGCAACGGGCCGGGGCGGGAGTTCCATGGAGACTGGGGAGCGCGCCCGTCTCATCCTCATCCTTGTCCTCCAGCTTCTCCTTCGCATCCGACGCAACCGGCAGCAGCGCTGCCGCCGCGTCCTCAGCCACCGCTCCCTCTTCCCACGGTAACCCCCTAGGCGACCCTGGACTCGGGGAGCGCGGGCGGCTGAGCGGCCTGAGCACCGGGTGCGGGGCGTCTGGCGCGGGGTGGGCATGTGCGGAGCCCGGGCCAGACTTGGGGTGGGATGTGTTGGGGGCGGGCGACTGGAGGGCAGCCGCTGAGGTGGGGAAAACCGGTCCGGTGGCCGGGGGAGGGCTCAGTTCTGAAAAGGACCGGGCGATATTTGGCGATCTTGTTAGGGATAACGGGTTGGGGGTGGGGCGTCCGTACCTGGGAGCGTTATCGAACCTAGTGTAGGATAAAAAAAGACGGGTTATCTTTCGTTTAAGCCACCACTGGGAAAGACAGGGAAGGGAGATTCCTCATCTGTCTCTGGAGCCATCACCCAGGGGAAGAGGGACCATGCAAAGATGCTAGGGGTCCGTTGCTTCTCAGAAAACTTCCAGCGGCCTCTCTAGTAGCTCCCCAAAAGCAGCTTCGTCGGTTTCTGGTTCTGGCAATGCCGGCAGCCCCGCTTTATTTTATTATTATTTTTGATCAAAATTAGGATTGATGGAGAAGGATCTAGAACTGAAGAACAGAAAATGAATTGTGGGTAGGGCTAAGCAGGGATGAGAGTCGGGATAAGTGATAAAAATAGCCAATAAAAGCCCTAAAAGTAAATCTAATAGGGCATGAGGGCTTAAAAAGAAAATCTCTCCTGCCGAGATGTGCATCTGCAGGCTCTGTCAGTGTGCTCACTGCAATAAGACTCAAACTGCAGTCAGTCCACATCTGTGAGCTCTCTGACTGCATCTGTCACCTGCAGTTCCAAAGCGACACTGGCAGTAAGTGCATGAGCTTCTGTATGTAGGGTTTAGAACAGTGCCTTAAAACTGTGACTCAAGAAAAGGGAGTAAGCTTGGTGGTTTGTGTGTGTGTGTGTAAGCAATGTGGATTCTCTGGGAAAATTTAAAAGGAGACATAAAAGAAGGTTCAGCCATCCTGACATAATTTCACAGTCTCTTTGAGAAAATGGCAGTTCATTCCAATTGAGAAGTGACTGTTAACACTATCTGGCTGAAAGACTTATTCACAGTTTGGTATGCCCAGTGAAATACCAGTTTATGTTATCTCTTTAGTCTTACATCACAAGCTGCTTAATGGTTTTATACTTTTCAGAATCAATTTAGGTGAGTAAATGATGTTTTCCTGTAGCACAATGAAAAGGCCACATATACATACAAAGTTCTTTATGTAAAGTTGAAGATTAAAGATGAAAATAAAATTGATAAATCATAGGAGCAATTAGGTCAACCACAGCTTCTGTTTGTCCCCCACCCCTTTTGTTAAACCTGACTTCTCTTAAGCAAAAAGGTGTCATCCTTTCCCCAGCCTCCTCTTTGCATACCCTCTGCCCTCAAAATCAGTATCAGAAACTAGTGACCTACTGCTGTGTGCCCTTGATTGGGTTGACTTATTCCTGAATGAGGGCTAGCCAGAATATAGTTTTAACTCAGGCGTTTTCATCTAAGCTTTTAATACGGAATTGAGGTCCAGTGTCTGTTAAAGGAATTTCATTCATGTGTAAAGAATTGGACAGGATGGAAAGTGTGAACGCTGGGAAACTTAAGTTGCATTTTAAGACTCTAAGAAGAAAAAGATAGATTAATGAATCAAAGACTGTTGCTTAAAATTTGTAGCAGTTCTGTGAAAGATATGCTGAGATAACCATACTTGAGGCTGCGGATGTTGAGTCCTGGGATTATCTTTGTGCATATGAGATTTGACGAAGTGTCCCTCAACCTTAGGGCTGCCATCAGACTCACTTGACCTAGACCTTGTTTGCCGTTGTCTGTCTCTTCATTGTTTGAGTGAGGGTCAAGCAAGCCCTAGCTTCCACCTTTATGAGCAATCCAGTGTCTGCTTTCCCTGCCCTCCTACGCCCCAATACTCCCAACTTTGGTGGTGGTTTAGTTACTCTCTTTTCTTAATCATGTCCCAATCAAAAATGATTTTTTATGCTATATCATTTCTGTTTCTTACGGCATTTTCAACGTGTCTTTCGCCTGCATATGCGTTTCATTAATGTGATTTTATCTGTTGCATTTTCCTTCTGTACCCCTCCTCTTTATTTGGAAAATTGGAGTTGTCAGGTTGGATGTTCTGTATTCATTCTGAATAACTGTTGGTTGTGAATACAACAGGTTAAGAGCCTGTGCTGAAACTCAAGAGCTTATATTAAAATAAGGTATATTAAAATTTTTGAACTTAGCAGAATGAAAGACGTTAGAAGTCCAAATGGTAATACTGTAATTGTAGACAGTCACTTTTAAAAAAAGTATTGCAGAGCCTGTTGTGTGTTTTAAATTGAACCTTAGATTTTCATGATTCTTATTCTAAAAAAATTATTCTTAAAATCAATCTTGACTGAAATTATATTCTGCCAAATTTGAGGGAACTACTTACACTGATTTCCCCAAGTTATTCTTAACATAGAAAATTGTCACATCAACATTTTTGTGGATGAACACATATAGAATGCAGAATTTGCTATGAAGTAGAACAAATACTTATGAAACGTATAGCTGAATGTATTTGGAGAGAGTTAGTTCTTCTCGTGGACGTGGCACATTATTTAAAAATCAGAAAATATTGTATAATCTAGTTGAGTGAACATGAGGACTGGTTTTAGATGAAGGGGACCAGTAATAACCTAGGTGATTGATTTCCTTGTGTTTCATCATAGACCATGTGATGAAATTATTGCTATAAAATACAGACATTGCAGCTGATTTTTAGAAGAATTTATAGTAGAATGTTTCCACATTGTCTCTGAGTTAAAATCTCTGGTGTTTTCAAATTTTAGCTGTATTGTGACATTCAAACTAATAAAGATATACTGAAACTTACATCCATTTTGTTGCACCTTCTGTATGCCTGGTGTCGTGTCAGGTGTGCAAAGCTGGATGAAAGAGGTATTTCCCTTCAGGTGCTTTTCGTGCACTTGCAGATAGCACAGAAATGTCCTATGTGTGTAACAAAACGTGACACACACAGATATGAATTTTAAATTATTACATACTGCCTGGTACTGTCGTTGTTGGTGAATGGACTTCATCATACCTGCTAAATTAGAAGTTTCTTGAGGATCAGGAGTATGAGTTGCCATCATATTGTATGTTCCTGCCCTGTGTGTGTATTTTGAAGATTATGTTGTTAATAGAAGGAGATACATGTTTGTTTATTTCACTTCAAGAGCTTAGCTAGTGTATGAAGGGAACCTTTTTGAAATCTAATTCTTGATGCCTAAAATTCCAACTTTGTATTCTGGCTGTGGGCATGCAAATTATAAGCAATGACACTTTGTCAAGTATGATTAGAGCCTTCTTCTAACCAATTCAAACAATAAAGATAATGATGGACTCCCTTCACTTGAGTTGACACGATATTTGCTCTTGTCACGTGACTACCACTTTGGGAAATTTCAAAAGGATGAGAGACAGTATACATATCTAAGGTTTTCCCAGGCTATGTAGACAGATTTGATTTTTGTATTATTAACCAGTCAGTCTTTTCTTTAGAAGACAGATGGAGTTTGTGTGTTTGTATAGTTGCGAAAAAGCAAGATTCCGGCAGTATGTCTTTAGTGGAAAGGAATCAGGTCACATCAGAAATTCTATTCATCTGTGACTAAAGGGGGATAAAGTTGAGAATTTGGTTTAAATGGCTGGTTTTGTGGGTTGAAGCATGCTGCTATGGATCCCATTAAATGTTAAAAAAAAAAAAAAATTCAATAGGGTGATTTCTGGGGCAGTTCAGATGTGCCTGTATGTGGAAGTCAATAATGAAACTGTTTAAAATTTCACCAAAAAGTACAGCACAGAAGATTGGCTGTTGGTTACTTTTACCATCCATTAATAAAAAAATACTGAAAACCAGATTTTTGAACTGGTTTTAAGGACAGAGTTTTCTTAGGACATATGTGGATGACTTCAGCATTGGATTGTGCTTAGCACAAGATAGACATCTGTGTGTAGACATTGGCCCACGGTATGTTTTTGTTTTTTTAACTCACTAGATAGGACTTAAGTCTTAAAAGCAGTAAAAAAATTTGTTACTATTAATAAAATGGTTCCAAAGAATCAGGTGTTAACATTCCCGCTCCTGATAAATTACAAGTATTTTCATTGTGAGACGAGTTTTGATGAGAATCACTTACTTTTCCTTGAGATTGGGGTTGGTACAACACTTAGAGAGTACGGACTCTGGGTGCAGGCTGCCTGTGTTCAGCATCATGGCTGTGCTTTTAATTAATGGCATAGCCTTAAATATTAAATAGCTTTCTCACTGCCCGGAGGCCCAGTTTCCTCTTCTGTACTAGGGGGTTAATACTACTACTACCTTACAGGGTTGCTGTGAGAATTAAGCATGAAGCACTTAGAACTTTAGTTAAAAGCTTAAAAAAGTGTTAGCAGGTGCTAGTAGCGGTGGCACTGGATAGTATATTAAAGGTGAACTGTAGGACCACTTGGATGCTTTGTTTCTTTGGTTGAGAGGCTTTCTACTAGAGCATTGAAATTCTTTTTATTTCTGATCACTGACTATTGGACTCATCTCTGCTGTTAGGCTTTAGGAGGGGGAAGTACTTTTTTTAAGTTTTGAATTGTCACACAGGCATCTGGTTATCACCGATGGCAGATGGACTAAGTAAAGAGAGACATCTCTGTTTCTTGGAAAAGGAAGGCCAACAAAGCCTGGGCTGGCACCGTGTTGCAGCTATTGAAATACTGTTTCCCTGTGGACTTGACTTGTTTAGCTGTATGATACTTCTGAATAAAAGGAATAGACCCCAATGGTTTCATTTAACAGAATTAGGCTTTCTTTAGAAGGCACCATTTTTTACTTGTATAATCTTAGTTGATGGTAAATTTGAAACTTGTATTAGTGTAAAGCCATGTATTGTGAGCTTTCTGTGCCACTATAAATGTTCTAATAGTAGTTTTTTTTGTAATTTTAGTAGTA